AAAGTTTAAAAGCAATCATTTCATTTCGTCTAAACAAACTAATCTTATTTTTTTTTCTTAATTATATTTATTAATTTAGGTTGATTTATTTACAATTTAGATCTGAATATTAATTTAAACGAAGATTCATAATAAGAGCAGGAGTGAGATGTCCTATATTTATAGAGTTCAGACAATTATGATTTTTTTTTAATTTTCTAAAATTTTCTTTGATTTTTATAGATTTTTCGATGTTAAGTTAGAATAAAATTAGGTGCAGTGAGTAGGAATAGTGCCTCCAAACATTGTAAAAAAATTGCTGTATACTTGCAATCAGTTTTGGTAATGATATGAAATACATTTTTGAATATAGAACTGTAGTAATCATGCAAAGAATTACATAAAATCGGCAAAATTACAGGTCTTTGAAAGAATTAGCGTGAATGCATTACTGAAAGTGAGCTTCTCTTTTAAACGAAATGTTTTTGCAACAAAGCCATTAAATTTATTCTAATGAAAATTAAAATATGGTTTGTGAGTAAATAAACAAGCGAAAAATGAACAAATAAATATATTAAACTAAAATAGTGAAAAGTAAGTGAAAATATGACTGCACATTCTGTAAAATTTTTCGTTTATCTCTTCACCAAAAATGGTGGTATTAATACACCACTTTTTTTAGTGTATCACATCTAGGAAATGTTCATCAAAGTATTTTAGTGTTCTTTAGTATGTTTAAAATCTATTCTTTTGTCTAAAATTTTATCGAATCAAATTATCTGAATCAGTATACTTGTGCAGTAGATTTAATGCATTTAATAACTGAATACATGCATTTTTTATCAGTGTTCTAAAAGAAACTGAAATTAATTTTAGATCAATACGATCTGTATTATTATTCTCCTATCAAAGTGCATTGCATGCGACAAAATACTTAATTTCTCGTTGATATTTACCATAATAAGCAAATTACGATGGATTAGACTGGTGGTTGACAGCTGCATTAACTTGTCTCAAAACTTGATTAATATTATTTTATGTTGTGATCAACATAATTTCCTCGAAAATACATAAATTACTTAAAATAGATTAAATTTGTAAAAACACAAAATTACTTAATATTTTAATATAATAAAATTATGTAATTATTTTATAATAAAATAATTTATGTAATAATTAATAATTATTTTATAATAAAATAGTTACCACATTAAATGTTATAATTATTTTATTTTATTTTACGCTTGTATTTTCATAAGGGAGCCTCGGAGCACTGCTAGTTTTGGCTTCGGCCACTAACAACAGAAAGGCTCCTGTGTGTTGCAGGCAGTGTGTCCCCTGATGAAGTACTGTTCTGCAAACACACAATTATATTTTATTTTTATCTATTAATTTTTTTTAATTTTGTGTTTTTACTAATTTACTAAATACAAATTTGGTTATAGCTGCACTGTGCGCTTTTCCAATTTGAATTTATGAAGTAAAATGTTCAGTGTTATTTTACCGTCCATTTTTCAATATTTATTAGAAATTTGAATTCGTGTTTGGGTTAAAATAGACTAAATTAACTCCTTAACTATTCCATATCAATTAAAATATTTATTAGTTCATGAGAGTTTCAAAATTAAAAAATGATGATTCTGTAATTTCTCATTAATGAGTATTCTGTAGAAATCTTGGATAATTGGTAACGATAATATTTTTAAAACCGACAAAATTTTTTAAAATCGACACAATGTCACTCAAAATTATTTGTACTGATCGAAAAACTTTACAAATCTTTTAGCGTAATCCGATTTACGTTGCGTACTTTGGTTCAACAGTTAGGATAGGTAGTTTAATAGAGACAATGTTGCAATAAAATATCTTTATCTACTAAACTCATGGAATTAATTTAGCACATGGCTGTAACTTTTCAATTGACATTACTTTACTATAGATATTACTTTCGGCTAAGTAGGACATATAATTTTAAAAAAAAATACGCAATGTACAAAATTATTTTATAGATAAAATTTTTGTGATCATTCGACGTTAAAAAGTATTACTTTAGCCCTGTTTTTTTAATTAGAAAAACGGCTTAATTCTTTTTAACATTGGTTAATGTATAAAGAAAATTTTTTTAATTGAATAAAATAATAGAAGATCTAGTCAAATGTATATTTTACTCTAGGGACATTGTATATTGATGATTAAAAATTTATTAAACGTGATTAAAGAGTTGAAACTAAATAATAGTTATTCGTAAATAACAGCCTCATGGTAAGCAAAATAATTAATTTCAGTTATAAAGAATAGCAACTTATTAAATGAAAGGATTAGTTGACAAATAAATAAAAATCCTTATTCATTTTTTTTGCTCATTTTGTCATTTAACTTAAACAAGCCTGTTATGATGGATTAATTTTCTCGAATATTCTTTTCTCACTTGTTTGAAATCGAAAAAGTTACAAATCCAGGAAATTTTTTCTTTCCAGATTGTTCAATATTTATGAGTTTTTATAATTAGTTCCAGCCTAAAGTTTCAATATTTAAGTTTTTGATTCTTAAAGTTTGTTTCATTTCTTCAACTCACTATTTACTGACGGTTGCAATGAGTTGCAATTAATCAAAAAAATTTAAATAGTTAGTAAAGATAGTTTCAAGAATTCCCCTTAAATTCATTTTTCAGAGACGTAAAGCGTCACTCACAAGAAAACTCTGAAAATTTTAACTTGTAAAATCTGTTGAAGAAAAGTAAAAATTAAAGTAATTGCGTAATAATTTTAGTAAATATCTAATTTCAGTTTAATATAAAAGCGTTTATATCATTTGTTAGGAAATGTTCACAATTTATTTTATTTTTATTTAATTTCTTCTTCGGTAGGAAACTTATGCTTTTATTTCTTATAAGCTACTTTGTAGCAAAATAGCTCTTCAGATAGCTGAAAACTTTATCCATGACATACAAATAAGATGAGACATATTTTTATTTTTGAGGAATTTTTAAGGTTTATGTTTCAGTCTTTCGGCATTAAGTTTAAAAGGAAAATTTTTTAATTAGAGGAATATTTTCATAAATTTTTGAATTTTATTGAAATTAACAATTAGTTTCGCTAAATTATGTTTTATTTTAAATTGAAAAGCTAACGAACTTTTTAAGTTTAAGCTATATTTATATATATATTTATATAACCACCGTTGAACAGTTGGCAAAATTTTGGGTTTACGACTACTAATGTTCAACTCCGTAGTCCTGTAATTTTGAACATTTCAGAAGACAAGGAAACTCCCATATCAGTACTCCCAGAGGCATGATTTGCCATGGCAACATGGAGGACTTTGTGACTAGACACATTTAACGTGCGTCAGTCACCATTTACTACCAGGGAATTTTTGGACGCAGCCCACGAAACAAGGAAACTTCTACATCAAGTATTTAGACAAATCAGCCTTTGTTGTGGACTTCTTGATATGAAATTTATTTGCATTTGTGTTTTATAGATATAAATTTTTCACTGTTTGCACCATTGCAAGGGGATACTTAACTATGATCTTTGACACCATTACCACAGAGACACCATTATTTTATATCAATCCTGTAGTCAGTAGAAACTAGGAGCTGAATTTAAACCTACCTGACATCTCTGAATTTGAAACTTTGTTAACTCATTATACATTGACCAATTGCTAATGCAGTTACGTTGAAAAAACTGAATGGGTCAATGGAGCTTCCAGTAAGGATTACCAACCTCAGGCCCAACTTTTAAAAACTCACTTGCTTGCTTGATTTTTGAAACTTTCTTGATTTTTATTCTTGATTTTTGGAAAAGTCGCATTAGTGTTTACTAAACTACACACTTTTGAGATAAAAAACATCATATAAATATCCTATTACTGCAATTACAGTTTTACGAATCTACATTTTAGGAAATTTGAGATAAAAAATTAATAGATACTATATTAAATCAACAGATAACTATATAATCTGGATTAATATGAATGTCAAGTAATGATAATTTGGTCATATTGCAGTATTCGAATAATTGCTTATAGGTCTTTCTAGGTTTCTGTTGTGAAAATTCTGAGTCAAAAATAAGATACGTGAAAAAATATCATACAATTAAAAAAAAAACAATTCATTGATATTTACGGGAAATAAATAAACTATTCAATTTATGAATAATTTTATCATTTTCTTCACTACTTAAATGTACAATGTTAGAATTTTCATTTTCAAATTACGGTTAAATAACCGGCAGCAGTCTGTCCACACAATTAACAGTAAAGTTTACGATAAAGAACATTTTTTACCGTTACTGTTTTGAAACCGTAAAAGTAACCAGTTGGTAGTATGGTTAACAAGCCCTGAATACAAAACTACACTGTTTTTTTAACCATTTACAATTAGAATGATTTCAAACCGGACATTGGAGCTAGGTTTTCGCAAGGTAATCGGCATTGGAGTTAGATCGTGGTTGAATTTTGTTTTTTAATGAACCGTGGAATGTGGTTCAATTAATTTATTTGGTTGTTTCACCGATCCTAAGCGATGGGAAATGCAAGACAATTTTGTGTTAAGCAGCCTTATGATGCTGACATCTGTGCGTGAGGGAAAATATAGTATTCTTATAGTCCAGGGTCACTAATTGGGGAGTGCTTGATACTAAAAACTCTTCATGTATTGAAAGAAATGGAGGAAATATTGTGGTGCCATGCTGGCACTCAAATCCCCCTTCTGTCGGCCATGAGATTGACATATTATCCATTTTGGATATAACATTTAACCAGCTGCAAGGAACTAAGTGGCTTCTTTAGGTGGGTTTAGTTGGTGTGATAAAATTCTCGTTCTCTGACCGTGCAAAATGAACGCAGTTAACAAACAGTTTGAATACCATCTTATTTCTGGTTATTAGACTGTAATGTTTAAAATATGATAAAGTAACAGTTGTTATTTAACTGAAATAAATTGTTATTTAACTGTTTTTTCAAAAAATTCTAACAGTAAAAGTAATGCAATAGGTTATTGAAATTATACTTACAACTCGATCACCTAGTTGTCTAATTCGACAGTGAAGGTATGATGGCTTTGAAAGTTGGAAGGTGACATTTCTGTCGGTTGAGTTATCAAAGTAAGGACGAAAGTGTGGGTCATCCCAGTAGGAATTAGGCCTCTGTGGGGGCTCAACGACAGATCCACCGAAACTGCGCTCTGTTCTTCCAAACAAATCGGAATCGTATGCGATATCTGAAAGAAAAATAATCTTTTATTACAACAAAAGAAGTAAAAACGGAAAAAACACGATTTTGTATTAGTAATGATTCGAAACAAATACGTGTCTCAAAAGTTGTAAGGCAAAATCAAGTTAATTAGAACAAAGACTAATTATCTTATGCAAATTTCCTTTTTACTTATTATATTTCTAATTTTATGCAAGATATATTTAGCTTCATATCTATATCTTTTGTTCAAAATTACTGTCTTTATACAAATGTAATAATGACTTGAAATCAAGAAAAATACTTCAAGCATAAATTTTGAGAAAATCGTATCCCAATTTGCATTTTTCCCGTTTAACAAAACACATTTTCTAGTGTGAAAGTGATGCTAAAGGTAGAAACTATTCTACTAATTTCTTCCGTTTTATTTCCTCACAATAGTAAGCGAAATGCGAGTTACACGGTAGATCGTGAAATGAAGAATTGGAAGTAAGTGAATAAAAATATTTTCTTCTATTTAGTCTTTAATGTTTCAGAGTTGGATAAGATAGAGTAAATAAAATCCGTAATTATGTTCTGATTTTGTGTGGTTTTTAAATGCATAAGTGACTTTAAATCAAGAAATGTGTCAAATGGCTTTTTTAAAGAAATATTGCAGATTATTTATTTACTTTAAATTTAAAGCAAGAGCCATCCGTTACACTATGTGTTAACTCTTTGATTAACAAGTCATTCTTTTATAAAACATGAAAAATGAATTCCCATTTCGAGACTAATAATTTTTCTCAATTTACATCATTCAATTTTATGTAATTATAAAGTAAAATTTTTGACAAGAATAAATGCATAATTTTAGAATCATTATTGAAAATCTATAATTAAAATATAAATACTATTTTTACTCATTTACACTTCCTTACTATCAATATAAAATTATTAATTATTCGGATACCATTTCCCTGACTGTCATTTACATGGAAATTCGCATTCGGCTTAGAACGTTTCCTAGTAAAGCAAAACACGATTTCCAATACGAACAGAATGGTTAAGCGAAACACACAGATTTAAAACACACAGATATCTCAATACGTTGAGTTAAAGATACACATTGCATTTTTATCTCAATAATAAAAGCGCATTGATTATTAATTATTTTTTTATATTTGACAATTTAAACAGAGCAAATAGTACCCCATTTTATTCTTAGATATAAATATACTTAAAATAATTAGTAAATATGATAATTAGTTTTCCTTTGAAATTTGATTGAATTTGCAATATTATTCTTTGTAATCTTTGAAGCCATATTTTGTTTTTCAGAAGGACGAAAAAGTTTAAATGCATAATGCAACTTCAATAAATTTTTTTAATCTTAGCATAAAAATATAAAATCAAAAAGGAATAAGGCTTACAGTTAATTTAAATACCCGCTTTTCATTACTGTGTTTGAATGATCTAAAATTATTTGAGGTAAAATCTTATATTTGTCATTTTTGTTTTGTCATTTGTCATCTTTGTCACTTTCGTTTACAAGTTATTATTATTCACTGTTAAAATTTTCTAACTCGTTAACTTATTTTCTGCAACCTGCTTAACATGGTCAAAGAAAAATAAAAACGAATAAAAACGAATGAAAAGAATAAAACGAATTTTAAAAAAAAGTTATTTGTTTGTTTCTTATTACAAATGTAACGCTGAGAAAAAATTATGTTCAAAGTTACCATAGTACGATAAAATCTACCGTGTTTCTGGCAGTACAGGAACACCAGAAGCACAGTAATTTTGGGCACATTGGTAATAGTTTTGATAAAATTATCATTAAAATAACATTTTATAACATGTTTAACTTTGGTAAATAAGGTAAAATTTGTAACTTTAATGGAATACCTTGAAGCATGGTACGAAAACCTTTTATTTGGTAAAATTTACTTTTCATTTACTTTTCAGAATTTCCGTAAAATTGTTACCATCCGAGTAGAAAAATTACCACATGAATGATTTAAACACTGTATATTTCGATTTTATTGACCAGAATACTTTTTTGTACTTAAATGTCAATACCATGCGGTGTAATGATTTAACCAGATTCTTTTCTCAGTGATTAGTGAGTAAGTGTTGCTCTTGAATGTTACTATCGTACCTCTCATAATTTGAATGTTATCGTACTTCTTACGCCTGGTGACACCAATCAACTTGAATAAAACTGGTACTCAAATATAATTCTTATTAGATTTCAGAAAATTTGCATCCTTATATTTATTGATATATCGTTTCAATCATGAACCAATTTTCCATCGCTTCAATCGTGAACCAAGAAAACAATGTTATAAGCTCTGAATACTTTCTCTCATATGCTTCTAACTAAAATAATATATCTGAAAATTTAAAATTTTTACATTCTTTGCATTAAAATAGCAGGGATGGCAGTGCAAACAATTCAAAATCAACATCGTTTAGATCTTATCTATAGAATACTCATTTTGAAAAAAAAGGAAAAATTTGATAACACATGAGAATCAAAGCTTGAGCAATCTAACTCAATGGCTAAATATTTTATTTTAACCATTTTACGAGCAAACCAAGTAAAATGCAAAATGGAAGAAAAAGAACAATGAAGTTTGGTTTCTTGTATTATAGCAATCACTTATTACATCAATTTGAAATAATTTTAGATAAATTAAGCAAACTGTCATAACTAAATAAAAGTAAGTTTCAAACTGAATGACGTTTGGAATCAAAAACGAATTCCAAATTAACAATTCAGAAGGTTTAGCCATACATACTTTTGTCATTGTGTATTAATTTTTTTTAAAATTCTAGTTCTGTCCTAGGGGGAGTGCTACTTTAAATTTTTTAAAATACAGTTTAATAAAAAAAATGTCTAAAACTGCTTTAGGTTCTCTTTACATTTTTTAGGATGTCATTTTACTCTAAGTCAAACAAAAATACTTCAAAATTTACTTTCTTTTTGGTAGATTTCAACTACGTTAATAAAATCAGAAAAAAACACTTTCTTCTCATCAAACTTGAAAGAAATCATTTCTCATTAACAATAAAATGTCTTCCTATTATACATTTGTTGAACAACCAAGTCGATAAAACGTAAATAACTACAAAGTTGCAGTATCAAATATCACATAAAAAATTTCGTGTTAAAAAATAAATTGAATAACTTCTCTCGAATAGCTTATCGCTTAATCAGTAAGATAAAAACTTCGACTGCAAGCTTTAAAACAATCATTAAAAATGCAGATATGACATCGTTTTCGAAGTCTAACAATGCTCCCAGCGGACCTTATTTGATTATCGTAATATGAAAACAAGGATAAGACTTTTTATTCTTTTGTTTTTTATGGAACTTCAGCGTGACACTCTTATTATCTATTGAATAATTAATTTAGCCTCCGGAAAACTTCAAAATGCATGAGTTAATTCCTTTTTTCTCGTTTACTTTATTCTAGTTTACATCAAGATCAGAGAAAACATTAAAGGACCTTTAGAAAAGAAAATTTGAACCTCAACTCAAGTGGAAAGTGAAATGCTCCGATTTTTTTTTTCGTTCGCAAGGACTTAATCGAATTGCATATTTATAAATTAGTTTCTGAAGAAATATAATTTCATTTAAAAATTTATGCTATTGAAGGTGCTTCTTTTGTTAGAGGGAAATTATTTGATACAAAATTACGCAAATAATTTGAATTTCTGGAAAATGCGCCAATTAAACTGAGTTAATTATATTTATGATCATTTTTTGTGATTCATTGAGAAATAAAAGCAGTTTTCATTTGGATAAAGAGTGATTTTTTAAAACCTTGTATTACTCTAAATTAAAGCTGAACTGCTAAGGCTTCTGAAATCAATTTTTTAACTTTCTAATTTTTATTAGATTTCATGTTAATTAATGAAAAAAAGGGGAAAATATCAGTAGTAAAATTAAATACTAATTTTCAAAATGTATAATTAGTGTTTTAAATTAATTTATGCCGCAAATTATATTTCAGAAATTAATAGGTATTTAATTATGAAATCATGCCTTAAAAATTTGTTATTTATTTTACTAAGAAATAGTATTTTACTGGTTTTAAAGTGTTTTACCAATCAACTTAATTTAAAGACAGTTGCATTTACGTACAATATAAATATACAGAAATATCTTTCAATAAGAAAGAAAACTGGGTACAGAAAATTTGGCCCTAAAATAGAGATACACCTTATCCAGAGATCAAAAAAATCCTTAAAATATCAAATTTAATGCCTAGCAATAACTAATTAATAGGTATTCACATATGCTCTTATATAGAGAACTAATTTTTCTTAATCACACAATTAATCGTAAAACTATTGTTGCACCCTTTGCTTAATTTGGTCTAACCAGCTATTTTAATGCCCTGTTGTCCCAGACTATCGGAAACTTAAACTGTTAAAAAAAATCTGTTTATTTACTGCTTTTACCTCATATGGTTAAGCGACTAAAACCTTACCGCACCAATTAGACCATGACCGGCATAACAGGGTTTTAAGTCCCAACCTTGACAGCATAATAATTCCTCCATTCCCTTCAACACATGAAGAATTTCCAGTGTCCTGCCCTTTCCAATGCCCATTACCTAATAAGGCCCATAACCTGTTCAGTTAAATTTCTTTTTGACGATAATGAAGTTGTTTATGTTGAAAAAATATATAGTTTTGCATTCATGGTTGGTTAACCATACTAGTTGTAAACAGTTCTAAGACCGTAAAAGTAAAGAAGTTTTCCTCACCGTAAACCTTACAGTTAATTGGATGAACATACTGCTGCCGTTATTTAACCGCAATTATATAAGGAAAATTTGAACCCTGTAAGGGTTAAATTTTTAATTAAATCAGACATTAGAAAGATCTGAGTAAAACGTTTATTCGGAGTATTTTTTTAATTTTTTATGAAATACTCTTTTAACTCTGTAAAGTCGTGAGGTTGATATTATAAATCAAAGACGGTTTCTAAGAAACGATAATGCTTAAGGAACGTTCAAAATAGTTTTCTTTGCT